CCAGAATGGAGACTGGACCTACCAACTCCAGGTGATGCTGGAGACCCAGCCCCAGCGGGGGGACGTCTACACCTGCCAGGTGGAGCACGCCAGCCTGGAGGCCCCCATCACCGTCCAATGGGGTGAGCCCCTCTCCTCCATCTCCTCCTGGTCTGGGGACCCCATTCTGCCCTGAGAAGGGGGGAGGGACCCTCCCTGTGGGGGGAGCTGGGACAGACCCTCCTGGGGGGGTAGCTGGCCCTGATCTTCCTACTCAGGGGAGGCTCCTTCTCCTTCCCCAGAGCCCCGTACCTCCAACTCTGCAAAGAGCAAACTCTGGACGGGGATCGTTGCAGCCGTGATCGGGGTGATCTTCTTCACCATGGGGCTTTCCCTCTACCTGAAGAGCAAGACAGGTGAGTCTGGGGGGCTGGATAAGAAATTGTGGGGAGGGGACCATCTAGGGGAGGCCTCTCAGCAAGCTTAGCAGATGGCAAGGAGGCTCCCCTGGGAAATTTGCTTGGGAAATTCTGTTCTTTGACAGTCTACTGTATAAATGAGCATCCTGCAACCTATTATGGGCTATCGATGGGGAGGGGGACCCCCTGAGTCCTCCAGCCCATGAAGGGTCCTGATTGGCTCTTTTTCTCCTTCCAGCAACTCCCATCCAGCCCCCTGCAGGTGAGTTTCTCCTCAAGTGATAGATGTTTCTTTAACATTCGTTAATTGTTCCTTTTTAAAAAAAAAAAAAGTGCCTGAACAAAACCTCCTTGCTGTGGATAACACAAATTTTTGAAATTTTGGGCAGCTTTTCATTACAGAGACCTGAAAACAGTGCAACCGAAACAAACACACACACAAACACTAAAATCTGCCCCAGGATGTTTCCAGGTTTTGGGAAATTGCAAAAGAGAAGGGAAGTCTCCTTGTGAAAATTTCACACAATTTCTGGCAAAGCAACACCCAGCTTTGCTACCACTCCCCATCCTGGCCCCATCTTGTTAATATGAAACATCTGGGGGGGGAAGCCTCCTTTCTTGATTAACCCCCCAGTTAAGTGAATTGGGAAAAAATCCATAAGCCTCTGGAGATGAATTGCTGGTCCTTTGCATCCTTTTCCACTTTGAAAAAAGGGGGGGACACTCCCTCACTTTGTTCCTACCTATCAACCAGCCCCCTTCAATGTGGGCCTGTCTGGGGGGCGGTTGAAAGAGAGGAATAATAAGTTATTTACACTGAAGGTTTCACTTTATTTTCTAACTTTCTTCCCCATCTCTTTTTTTCTACAGCACTCATGAATTAAACCTGCTGTCCTTCCTGATTCCTGATGGGAAAGGAAGTTGGTTTTTTTTTCAGTAACTGATGAATTTCTGGCTTTTTCGCAACCTCTGAAAAATGGAGGGTCAAGATTTTAGATTGGGGGGAGGAGAAGAATGGCAGCCTGGAGCTTCTCCTGCTGAGACACCTCTGGCTTTCCTTTGAAGGCCTCTCTTTCTTGTGAAGGAGGGATGGAGACCATCTAGATGGACCCCAGGGACTCTGGACCTGTCAGTCCAGACATCCAAATCTCTCCCGGCTTTAAATCCACAGCAGCTTCATCTTCATTACTCTTCGTCTGAATCCCTTCCCTTCGCTTTGCTATAAAAGAATAAACATTGTAGGAAAAATCCTGGAATTCTTCCTTCCTTCCTTTCTCTTCCTCCTCCTTTTTCCTCTCCCTTCCCTGCAGAAGGGTCCTCCCTTCTCCCCTTCCCCTCCCCAGATTGACACCTCCCCTGCCTCTGGATCAACCATCCCGACTACTTCGAGTCCAAAGTTAAAACTGGTTCGGGAGGAGGATGGGCAGATCCAGGGAGGGGAAGGGGCAGGACCCCCATCCTGCTTGGGGGCCCCCTTTCTCTGCTTCTCCTCAATCCTACTTTTGAGGACCAGGATGCCAGGAGATGTGGTCCCCTTCAAGCACTTGTGGGGAGCCATTGGGGGACACCCGAGACTGCCCCTACACTCACTTAGCCATTTCTGCCATTTCTCTCCTTCACAACTGGAGGATCCTGCCCCATTTTGGCACTCAAAGCCACCCTCCCTCCACCTGAGACCCCAGAGGCCTTTTCCAGGACTGCCCACCTATCGCCACTGCCGCCCCACAGCCCTCCCTGCCTTTGGGTCTGAAGCCCCCTCCCTCTGGGCATAGGAGACCCCTAGAGCAGTTTCTCCTGCACAGTTTGAGGGTCCTCCTGCTTCATGTCCTGGGTGTAGGACCCCATCCTGACCCGATGGTCCCCAACAGAGAGAATCCTGTGCGAGTCTCACGTGTGGCCCCCAACTGAAGCTCATCTGAGACCCCCCCTCAGAAAAGGCCCTGAGTGATCCTGTGGCCAATGGCCTTGATCTTTGGGAAGGTTGCACTG